ACGCCAACCTCTACTCTAAACATGTTGTCCCGTAGATAAAGTTTCTTCAGATTCTCACATCCCCCAAGTGCTTCAGACAAAGTAACTCCTCCTTCAGACCTTACTCGTGTAGATGAGCACCGAAAATCTTCCAACAAAGGACAACACCTTAGAATCTCAGAAATAGCAACAGCCCCTTCATCTCATGTCATATTATTATGAAACAGAAGAACCCTAAGCTTCTCTGTGGAAGGAACCAACTCACAGATAGCTGGTACAGCTTCCTCTGATATTCCATCGTTCATTAGATATAGTTCCTCCAAGCTAGTTTGAGATTGCAAGATCTTCCCAAATGCCCTAACTCCTTTCTCACCCAAGGCATTGTCCGACATGTTCAGACACATCAAATGAGAGCCTTCCAGAGCTGCAGAGAATATATTCATGACATCAAGAGCTTCAGACATTACATGCTACTCCTCTCTCACACATTTCATCGAACAGTTCATAAGCTTTGCTTACATTACCATCCTTACAATACCCATACATCACACAATTGTAAGTATACAAGTCGAGCAAAGCCCCATTAAGCTTCATCTTCTCATAGAGCTCGAATTTATCCTTTTTAAGTCCGTTCTTAAAGATCCCATTTATCAAAACAGTGTAAGTATACTGATTAGCAACCAAACCCAGCTCTTCCATTTTATAGAACAATTCTTTTGCCTTTTCAAATTCACCATCCTTACAACACTCATCAATCGACGTAGTATATACAACAACATTTGGACTATAACCTATGCTAGACATTTGATCCAAAACCCTTAATCTACTAATTAAAACGAAATTCTAAGAAAACTCAGAAAAAAGTACGACTAACCAAATAGATGAAAGGTGTCGATGGTCGGTGGTGGAAGGCGACGAGATGTCGAGATATGAGAGACCTTCTTTACCTTCTTCTTCTGCCAATAGACGGCATTGAGGATAGAGACTCGGAGACGAGAGTGAGATTGTTGAGAGAATTCAAGTCCCAGATTCTGTGGTTTTAGCCTTCAGGTTTAGATTTGCCAATTTGGGATCTCTGAGAGATGATATTGGATTCAATGGATTTCAATATTGGATTTGGAAGGTTTCTTAGAGTTTTCTGATTCAGGGGCTTCCTCTTTTGATTTGGGTTTTAAATACAGGTTTGGCACGGTAATATAATTTTATTTTAGCTTGAAGGGTATTAATCAAAGATGATATTTTTTTTAGGGCAATCAGTCTAATTTTCCCAAAAAAAATATATTGACTTGATGAAAAAAAAAGCGGAAATTACACCCCACCCTACTTTTGGAGATCTCAACTCTAAAATCAGGTGGAATCTTTTTTCTTTCAAAAATCAGAAATTTGATAAATTAATTATATTATAATTATAGTATAAAAATTAAATTATTCTACATATTCAACCCATCATTTTCTACCCTAACCAAACCCTTATTATTTCCCTTCATCTTCTTTCTTTCTTTCTTTCTCTACTCCACTCCTTCTAGAAGGCTGCTTCGACAATCCCTTACAAGGCTGCTCCGGCTCTGCGATCAGTCACCTGGCAGGGGCAGCAGTGACGCGACAAGCAGTGGTTCGCCTCTCCTCTATTCTCCCTCATCTTCTCGCGACAGCAACACCGCCCATCTCTTCTCCCTCCTCCTCTTCTCGCGACAAGCAGCAGTACCTCTCTTCTCTTCTCCATCCTCGCCTTTTCGCGACGATCGTGTGCAGTCCCTCTCCTCTCTTCTCCCTCCTCCCCTTCTCATGTTTTTTTTATGGTTGTGACCGTGTGGTGTAAATGGATCTGTGGATCTGCGATGGTGGTGGATCTGTGTGTGGTACGGTGGTGGTGGATCTATGGGTGGTGCGGTGGTGGTGGATATGTCGTGGGTGTGGTAGTGGTCAGTGTGGTGGTTTGTGGTGGTGGTGGTCTATGTGTATGTCCAAATTTGAGTGGCGTTGCATTTTTCTTCTCTTATTCTTTTTGTTGTGGGTGGTGATGGATGCGCCGTTGGTGTTGATGGTGGTGGCACCGCGTTATGTAGGGTTGCGGAATTAGAGCAGTCGTCTGAAACGATCACCAAAATAGTCACCGAAATCGGAGCAGTAGCCGGAACGGTCGATGGAATGATCGTCGGAACAGTCGCCGGAATCGGAGTAGTCGCCAAAACGATCGCTGGACGATTGTCGGAGCGGCAGGGGTGGTGTAGCTATGTTAACGAGCTGAGCTCGAGCCGAAAAAAAAAAAGCTCAGGCGCAGCTCGAGCTTTTTTCGGACCCGAGCCGAGCAAGGCCAAAAAAAATAATTTTTAATTTTTTTCAGCTAATTTAGCTTTAAAAATTTTTTTTAATTTTTTTAATTAATCACG